AGAGAAAAGGGGTAGAAAAATTATTTGAAGAATAGCTGAAAACTTTCAAATCCAATTAAAGACATGAATATACATATCCAAAAAAGTTCAACAAACTCCAAACATCCACATTGAGACACACTAGAGTCAAAATATTGAAACCTAAAGACAAAGAGAGAATCCTGAAAGCAGCAAGAAAGAAGCAACTCTGATACAGGGAAAAATATTCACAACCTTGGATTTACCAGTAGTTCCTAAGTTTGACACCAAAAGCACAGGAAACAAAAGAAAAAAAATAGACAAATTAGACTTCATCAAAACTTAGAATTTTTATGCAAAGGATGCTATCAAGAAGATAAAAAGAAAACCCACAGAATGAAATAAAATATCTGTAAATCACATATCTAATAAGAGTATCTGTAAATCATATACCTAATAATATTATGTAAAGAATTCCTACAACCAAACAACAAAAAGACAAACAACTCAATTTAAAAATGGGTGAATAGTAAAGACATTTTCTCCAAAGATATACAAACATTTGTAAATGTATGACAAGATGCTCAATATCATTAGGTACTAGGGAAATGTAAATCAAAACTATGAGATACCACTTCCTACCCACTAGGATTGCTATTACCAAACAAACAAAACAAAACAGAAAATAACAAGTGTTGACAAGGATGTGGAGAAACTGGGACACACATATACTGCTGGTGGGAGCGTAAAATGGTACAGCCCCTTTGGAAAACGGCTCGGTAGGTTCTGAAAAAGTTAAACATAAAATTGTCAAATGGCCCAGCAATTCCACTCTTGGGTATATACCCGAAAGAACAGGAACTTGAGCAGGTACTTTTACACCACTGCAGCATTATTCATGACAGTCAAAGGGTGGAAAACAATCCAAGTGTCCAACAAGAGATGAATAAACAAAATGTGGTATGCCCATACAGTGGAATATTATTCAGCCATAAAAAGAAATGAAATTCTGATACATGCTCCAACATGAATGAACCCTGAAAGCACTACACTAAAGTAAAATAAGCCATACAAAATTGGAGAAATATTATATGATTCCACTTATATGAGGTACCTAGAATAGGCAAATTAATAAAGACTGAAAGTATAACAGAGGTTACCAAGCACTGCAAGGCAGGCGAAATCAGGAGTTACTGCTACCCACTAGGATGGGTGCAAAATTTCTGTTCAGGATATGTAGCGGTGAATTACTTAATGCTACTGAATTTTTCATTTAAAAATGGTCAAAATGGAGCTGGTGTGTAATGGTTCAGACATGCAATCTCAGCATTTTGGGAGGCCGAGGCAGGAGGAAAGCTTCAGCCCAGGAGTTCAAGACCAGCCTGGGCAACACAGTGAGATAACATCGCTACTAAAAAGTTAAAAAATAAGCCGGGCTCGGTGGCTCAGCCTGTAATCCCACGCCTTTGGGAGGCCTGAGCCCGCGGGTTCGAGACCTGCCTGGACAGTGAGACCTCATCTCTACAATAAATCAAAAAATCAGCCGGGCATGGTAGCGCATGCCTGTAATTCTGGCTACTCGGAAGGCTGAGGTGGAAGGATCGCCGGAGCCCAGCAGGTCGAGGCTGCGGTGGCCGGGAGCGGCCACTGCACTCCAGTCTGGGTGACAGAGTGAGACTCCAACTCAAAAAAAGAAAAAAAAAAATAGCTGGGTGTGGTGGAACACACCTGTAGTCCCAGGTACTCAGGAGCCTGAGGCAGAAGAATCGCCTGAGTCCAGGAGGTCATGGTTGTCGTGAGACATGATCATGCCACTGCACTTCAGCCTAGGCAACAGAGTGAAACCCCGACTCAAGAAAATATATAAATAAAAATAGTTAAAATGGTAAATGTTAAGTTATGTATATTTTGGCACAATTTTAAAACAAACAATTAAAAATGGGCAAAAGGTTTGAGTAGACATCACCAATGAAGACATACACATTGCAAATAAGTACATTAAAAGATGTTCAAGCCGGGCTCGGTGGTTCAGCCTGTAATCCTGCGCCTTTGGGAGGCTGAGGTGAGTGGATTGCCTGAACCCGCGGGTTCGAGACCCGCCTGGGCAGTGAGACCTCATCTCTACAATAAATCAAAAAAATCAGCCGGGCGTGGTAGCGCATGCCTGTAATTCCGGCTACTCAGAAGGCTGAGGCGGAAGGATCGCCGGAGCCCAGCAGGTCGAGGCTGCGGTGGCCGGGAGTGGCCACTGCACTCCAGTCTGGGTGACAGAGTGAGACTCCAACTCAAAAAAAAAAAAAGATGTTCAATCTCATTAGTCATCAGAGAAATGCAAATTAAATTCATGATGTGATATTATACACATCTATTAGAATAGCCAAATTTTTTAAAAAACTGATAATGCTAATACAGAGCAACCATAACTCTTACACTGACAGACAACCAAATGGTTCAACCATGCTAGGAAACAGTTTCTTATAAAGCTAAACACACTTTGCATATAACACAGCAATCTCACTCCTAGTTATGTACCTTAGAGAAACGTTCATACAAAATTTGTGTAAAATGTTTATAGCAGCTCCACTCAAATAATCAAAAACTGGAAACAACCCAAATGCCTGTCATCAGGTGAGTCGATAAAATGTGATATATTATATAACAGAATACTACTACCAATTTAAAGGAATGACTGATACACATAACAACTTAGATGAATCTCAAAGGCATTATGCCGAGTGGAAGAAGCCAGTCTCAAAAGGTTGTGCACTATTATGATGCCATTGCTCTGTATTCAGATTGTGGCAATGGTTACCTAAATCTATACACACATTAAAAGTCACAGAACTATACACGCCAAAAAAGGTCAAATAATTTAATTTATTTAACAAGCATAAAAATAAAATAAAAATAAACACAAAAACAATTTTAAAAAATAGTGCAAGACAGCAATCCAACCATCAGGCAAAATATAACTCAAGTCCCAAAGTATTAAGTATGACAAAAGGCATTATTCACATTGATAACATAACATTCAAGAATATGTACCAGGTCAGGCATGATGGCTCATGCTTGTAATCCCAACACTCTGGAAGGCTGAGGCGGGAGGAATGCTTGAGCCCAGGAGTTTGAGACCAGCCTAGGCAACATAGCAAGACTTCATCTCTAAAAAAAAAATTAAAAAAATAAAAAACTTAGCTAGCTGAGAGTGGTGGCACACATGCATAGTTCCAGCCTCTTGGGAGGCTAAGGCAGAAGGACTGCCTGAGCCCAGGAGATGGAGGCTGCAGTGAGTCATGATCATGCCACTGCACTCCAGCTTGGGTGGCAAAATGAGACCCACAACTCAAAAAAAAAAAAAAAAAAGAGTATGTACCAAATAACACAGCAACCAATTTAAAGCAGCAAAATCTACAAGGGATGCAAGGAAGATGGTAACACACTAATAAGACACCACTCTCAAAACAAGACAGATCAAGCACCATCTGTGGTGTGCACCTGAAGGATTGCTTGAGCCTAGGAGTTCAAGTACAACCTGGGCAACACAGCAAGACTCTGTGTCTGCAAAGAAAAAAAAATTAAAGACGGATCAAGCAGAGAAGAAAAAATACATAAGGAGACAGAAGATCTAACCAAAATAACAAACAGAGGAAATCTTATAGATGTATATATCAAACTCTACACCTTGATAACAGAGATTACATATTTTCCAGTGCTCACAGCACTCTCACAAAAAAAACCCTACACATTTATTAGGTCACAAAGAATATATCTTCCATAAAGTAAAGTAATTAAAAACAATACTCTCACTAGGCACAGTGGGTCACGCCTGTAATCCTAGCACTTTGGAAGGCTGAGGCAAGAGAATTGCTTGAGTCTAGGCGTTCGACACCAGACTATGCAACACAGCGAGACCATGTCTCTACAAAAAAATTTTTTAAAAATTGCTGGGCATGGTGGCATACATCTACAGTCCTAGGGGGCGGGGGGTGAGCCATGACTATGCCACTGCATTCTAGCCTGAGTGATAAAGTGAGATTCTGAATCAAAAAACAAACAACTGTCTGATCATAATACATTAAAACTAGGGTGGGTGCAGTGGCTCAAGTCTGTAATCCTAGCACTTTGGGAGGCCGGGGTGAGAGGCCAGGGGTTCGAGAACAGCCTCATCTCCACAATAAATAAAAAAATAAGCCGGGCATGGTGGCGCGCGCCTGTAGTTTCAGCTACTTGGAAGGCTAAAGCGGAAGGATCATGTAAGCCCAGCAGATCGAGGCTGCGGTGGCTGTGAGTGAGCCACAGCACTTGAGCCTGGGCGACACAGTGAGACCCCCAACTCAAAAAAAAAAAAATGTACTAACACCGCCACCACCAACAACAGAAGAAAGGTTTGTCTACCTAAAAATTTAAGAATCTCATACTAAACAACTTCTGGGTGAAAGAAAATGCCACTAAAATTGGAGAAATTTAAAGAAATACTAATAAAAATTTTCATCACCTGTGAAAACACAATGACACCATCTAAGAGAAAAAAATATCATGTTATCTCCATAGGAAAGAAAGTTCTTTCTAGAAGGAAAATTCACCATACAATCATGATTTTAAAAATAAAATCCAAGAAAATAGGAATTGAGGGATACTTTTTAAGTATGGTAAAAAATATATATACCTTAGTCCTTAAGCCAAAATCTTATCTAGTAGAAAAACAATCGAGGTATTTACATTAATATCAGAAACAAAGCAAGGATGGCCACTATCTCTGCTTCTGTCCGTCATTGTACTAGAGTATCAGCCAATGAAATTAGAAGAGGGAAATCAAATAGAGATATAAGAATGGGTAAAAGAAAAATAAAACTATTAGTAATTGCAGATAATATAATATCTAGAAAATCTGAAAGTCAGTGATGAAATTTATCCAATAATAAAAGAACTCAGTGAAGTAGCACAATTTAAGAATACATAAAAATCAGGTAAGTGGAAACTGGCTCCGGGGAGAAGTGGCATGAGATCCACCCGGCTGCAGCAGTCGCTTGCTGTCTTCTTGCCGCTGGGCGCCAGGCTCCGGCATGCTTGACCAGAGCCGCCGCCGCCGCCATGTGTATAAAGGGCCGCTTCCCCATCCGCCGCACCTTGCAGTATCTCAGCAAGTGGAACGCGGTGTTCAAGGATTCGGTGAAGGTCAAGACCATGAACTGTTACAACACACGCCAGGAAATTTGTGTTTTTCAAATATAATACAAAAAGCCTTGGGTACAGTTCATGATGTTTAAGAACATGATGCCAGCCGGGCACAGTGGCTCATGCCTGTAATCCCAGCATTCTGGGAGGTGGAGGTGGGAGGATTGCCTGAGTCCACGGGTTCCAGACTAGCCTGGGCAAATTGGTTAGACCGTGCCTCTACAATAAATCAAAAAATTAGCTGGGTGTGGTGCATACCTGTAGCTCCAGCTACTTGGAAGGCTGAGGCAGAAGAATCGCCTGAGCCCAGCAGGTAAGGCTGTGGTGGCCATGCGTGTGCCACTGCACTCCAACCTAGACAGCAGAGTGAGACTCTAACTCAAAAAAAAAAAAAAGAAAAAAAAAAAAAAAGAACTCGACGCCATCGCCCTTCCTGTGATTCTAGTTAGATTCTGGGGAACAGGTCCCAGTGGATGTGGAGACCAAGAACAATAAGGAGATCATAGTGCACATCAGAAAGATCTTGGGGAAGACAGAAGAAACCCTCAAGAAAGAGGAGCAGGAGAAAAAGCAGCTCTCTCACCCAGCCAACTCAAAAGAACTGCTTGAGGGAGTGCATGTGTGAAGTGGAAGGGCAGGAGCTCTGCCAGGGCCTGCTGCCATTGCCCAAGGAAATGACAGGGAAGTAGGAAGCCTCTCTGAAAGCCAGTGCCCGGGACTAAGGCCCAATGCCAAGGACTAAGGCCCAATGCCACTATGGGTTGGGCAGTTGTGTCTGACCAGTGTGGAAATAGGTATGGGGTTCTTTTGGCCCCAGGGAAGTCCCTCGTTGTGCCCCAGAGACACTCACTCTAGAAATCTCTTTGCAATACAAGGTCCCCTTTACACTCCTGTGTAAAATAACATGGGGAGAGGAGCATCACAGCTGAGCCGCTAAATGAAAAATCTCTGCTCCAGTGGCCAATAAAACGCTTCCTAATCACTCCCCCCACAAAATAAAAACAATAGCCTTTATATACCCAAACAATTAACAGAAGACATATGGTAGAGAAAAATCTCATCTGCAATAGAAATAAAATGATTAAATATTTAGGAATAAAGTTAATAAAAAGAATTCAGCCTATACAAAGAAAATTTTAAAACACTACTGAAAAACACTAAAGTAAACGTGAACAAGTGGAATTGAATCTCCTGTTCTTGGATAGGACTCAAAAATACAAGCATGTCATTTCTCCCCAAGTTAATTTATAAATTCAATATCATTCCAATAAAAATACCAACAAGATAATAGGCAGGTTGATACTAAAATTTATATGGAAAAACAAAAATATAAGACTAGCTAGGAAAATAGCAAAAACAAAAAACTATAAGGGGAGACAGACCCTACCAAATAGTAAAACATACCAATTAAAGTCTTAATAATCAAAACAATGTGATATACTAGTGCATGCAGACAAAAAAAGCAAGACTCAAGTACATACGGAAATTTAAATATGGCAAAGATGGCATCTCAAATCATTGAGGTCAAGATGAACTTTGTAATAAGTGGTGCTAGAATGAATTGGTGGAGATATGGAAAAAGTTAAAATTAGATCCATACTTCACACCAAATTTGCAATGCCAAATGGATTGGGAATCTAAATGATAAAAATGAAACCATACAACTACTAAAGGAAACATGAGTGAATTCCTCTTTAATCTTAGTATTAATACTTAGTATTAAGTATTAGGGAAAGGCTTTCTAACTGTGATTTAAAATCCAGACAGTAAAAGATTAATAAATGTAACTATTAAACATTTTTGCATGACCAAAAAAAAAAAAAAAGAAAAGAAAAAAAAACAGAAAAGAAGTCAGAAGACAACTGACAAACTGGGAGAAAATATTTGTAACATATGCCACCAGTAAGGGACTAATATCTCTAATATAGAAATAGTTCTTAAAAATGGAAGGACACAGCATTATTTACAACAGCCAACAGGTGGAAGCAACCCAAATGTTCATTGATAGATGAATGGATAAACAAAATGTAGTGCATACAAATAATAAAATTTACTCAGTCCTAAAAAACAAAGGAATTCTGACACACGCTACAAAAAAGAAGGTAACTCTGACATATTCTACAACATGGATGAACCTTAAGGACATCACACTAAGAAATAAGCCAGTTACAAAAAGACAAATATTGTATGATTCCACTTATATAAAGTACCTAAAGAGTCAAATTCATAGAGACAGAAAGAATGGTGGCTGACAGGAACCAGGGAAAGGGAAGAATGTGGAATTAATGTTTAATGAGTATAGAGTTTCAGTTTGAAAAAATGAAAAGAAGTTCTGGAAATAGATGGCACTGATGGCTGTACAATAATATGGAGGTATTAAAAAATATAAAATAGTATGTCACTTATATTTCACCACAACTTTTTTAAAAAGCTAAAGAACAGTTTGGCAAAGGGAGAAAAAATATGACACAAAAGGAGACATGTAACTGGCTCTCAAACATATGAAAAAATGTTCAAATCACTCAAAATTAGAGAAATGTATATTAAAACAGCACTGAGTCACCATTTCTCACCTATCACACGGGCAAAAATCAAGCATGACAGCATACTCTGTTGGCAAGGTTGTGGGGAAACAGGCACTATTCTTATACATTGTTAGTGCAAGTGCAAGTTGGTACAACTCTCCTGGAAGGAAATTTGACAATATCTGAGAAAATTACATTTGCATTTATCTTTCAACCGAGCAATTCCACTTCTAGAATCTACCCTGAAGATGTACCTCCAACAACACAAAAATACACATGCAAAGTGTTTGTTTATTCATTGTGCAGCAGTGTTTATAATTTCAAGATACTGGAAGCAACCTTAATGGCCACAGATAGGAGAGTGGATGAGTAAACTATGGTACATCCATGCAATGAGGTAATATGCAGCTGTAAAAATTAATGAAGAACTGTGCATAGCAGCATTATTCAAATAATAAAAAGTAGAAACAACCCAAAAGTCCACCAACTGATGAAAGGACAAAGAAAAGATGATATACTGGTACAATGGAATATAATTCAGCCATAAAAAGTAATGAAGTACTGACAACATGGATGAATCATGAAAACATTATGCTAAGAGAGAGAAGCCTGTAACAAAAGACCACATATTGTATGATCCCATTTATAGGAAATATCCAAAATAGGCAAATCTATACAGATAGAAAATAGATTAGTGGTTGCCTAGGGCTGGGGAAAGAGAAGATGGCAAGTGACTGCTAATGGATCAGGGTTTCTTTTTGGGCTTACAAAAATGTCCTAAAATTGATTGTGGCAATGTTTGCACAACTGTGTAGATAATAAAACCACTGAATTGTATACTTTAAATGTGTGAACTTAAGGTATGTAAACTATATCTCAATAAAGTGTGTGTTTTTTTGAGTTGGAGTCTCACTCTATTGCCCAGGCTGGAGTGCAGTGGCCGCTCCTGGCCACCGCAGCCTCAACCTGCTGGGCTCTGGCGATCCTTCCGAGTACCTGGAACTACAGGCGCGCGCTACCACGCCCGGCTGATTTTTGATTTATTGTAGAAATGAGGTCTCGCCAAGTTGCCCAGGCGGGTCTCGAACCCGCGGGCTCAGGCAATCCATTCACCTCAGCCTCCCAAGGCATGTGATTACAGGCTGAGCCACCGAGCCCAACTGATAAAGTGTTTTTTTAAATGAATGAGGAAGATCTCAGAACAGATATGGGATGATTTTGAAGGCATACTGTTAAGTAAAAAAAAAGCAAACAATTATCTATAGCATGCCACTCTTCATATAAGAGAGAAGATATAAAAATACACAACTATCTGCTAATTTGTGTAAAAGAAACACAGGTTAGTGCAGCTACTTAAGTTAGCTATATAGGGTAGGAAGGAAAAGGATTCAAAGAAAGCATGAATGGGAACAGTGTGGTAGGAATGAGGATGGAGTGACACTTCTCTGAGCCTACCTTTGTATGTACCTCTCACTCTCAGAATCTCAGTCATGTTTCAGACCCTCAAAATAAACTGGTATCAACTAAGATATAGTAAGAACCCAAACTGCAATATAAACACTAACAATGTAATATTACATTGTATTACAGCTAACACCACCACTCTGAATAGCATTAGGAAGGAAAGAACAAACTTTAAGTAACAGTGGAAACAGTATCCTAGTTGGACACTGTAAGTCTGAAGAACTGTGATTCTGGGGGTGAGGCAAAGAAAATACAAGGGGAGCCTGGAACAACTTGTGGTACCATACAGCAAGTAAGTACTCAGAAAAATGATGAGAACTTGTTGATAGGACACAGAAGCATACCTGAAGGAGATCTTAACTAAGGAGCCAATGCTGGAACGGTAAGCAACTAAATGATGATACTGGATTTTAACTCATAGAATAAAGTGAATATCCATTGTCCATGCCGATACAGATACATAATCAAATAAATAAATGAGAGAATGGGTAGCTCTTCTCTCAGTAGAATTTTAATTAATAAGTGTAGACAGAAAGAAATAGATAATTACCCTGAGGCAAACACCACAAAGATCCACAGGTGGATACTAAGGTCAGTGGGCATAAATTTATGGAGAACCTGAAATAGAGTACCTCCCCCAAGGTACTTAATAATTAGAAAAGATAGTAACCCTATAGTGTAAAATCCTGGCAGGCACCAAGTAAAGCAAGAGACATATAAATATAAACATAAGCCAAGGTAAATATCACCAGTAATAAGACATATCAATGTCTTGAACTCCTTCATGTGATGCCCTAAGGACACAAAACTAGTATTTATGCTCTGGCTAAAAATGTATATAGCCTCATTCCAACCATGAGGACACTGGACAAACCTAAACTGAGGGACATTAAATAAAATAACTGAAATACATTTTTTATTTGTTTATT